AAGACCTTGACTTTGTACGTTGCGCACGTCGAGCACGTCGTGCGTCGGCCGCTCGATGGAGGCCTGTGCGGGCCGTCTCCGGGCGGCGGCGCTGGGTCCCCCCAGGGCCGCGCTCTGAAGCTGCACAGCTCCGGCTCCCCCGGCTGCGGGCCGCCCCCTCCCTCCCCACCTCCCCTCCTAGTCCTGCAAAGGCCGTTTCGCAAAAGTTGACAGAGTGGGGTAGGATCCCGAGCCAGGCAGGCCCTGCAGGACTCAGGGTGACCCCGAAGGACAGGAATGAATGAATGAAATGGAGGAGGGCGGCGGAGCCCTGGGGTCAGGACTGCGGAGGTCCGGCCGCTGCCCAGGCCCCGCGGGTGCCCACTGGCCGCACTCCCTGGGATCCGGCGAGTTGAGTTCAGCACAGACGCTGTGTGTGTAGATGAAACCCCAGGACCGGTGGTGATGGGAAAGACAGCGCCTGTGATTTTTTTCTTTTTCTTTTTTTTTTTTGATTGCATTTTTCCATTGATAGGACTGGAGAGGGATGGTGCGTGCTGATGAGTTTGCTGAATTCAAGTTAGCGTTAGGTAATTAGTTAAACTACCTAGAGCTCACATCCCTTTTTCTCATCCGGTTTTATACGGCCTGTTCTGAATTCGGTCTTGTCTAGTATTACTTTTTTTTTTTTTTTAAATTGTTTCTTTAAGGAAAAAGGGAAACTAGATTTGTTATTATAATATTACATCCCACAGAACGGCTCTTCTTCCTCGGGAGGAGCTGGGAAGGAGAAGCTGAGGGTTACAGGAGCGTGCTCAGAGTCTGCTAGGTTACTGGCCTTCCCTACAGACGCGGAGGGAGCACTGGATACTGTACGGCTGTGCTTGGTCAGAGTTTGCCGGAGAAAGTCAGAGGGCTTGGCTAAGGAACGTTAATTTAAGTCAGCATTGAAAGCGTTGATCCCCTCGTCCAGGTGAGAACTTGCTTTAAGAGTTAGTTCTGTGCCGGGTGCACAGAGGCGCTAATGATGCACAGACTGCTTCCTCAGCCGGGTGTGTGGTCAGTTGTCCCATCCCTGCACTTGTGGTTTAAAGTTATTAACAAAGAAGAGCTCGGTAATTTGTGGTAACTGCAGCGCAGCAGGTAACACGCTCAGTGCTTTCCTAGACCGTCTCATCTGACCCAGGCGTGAGAATTTTAAACGACGCTGGTTTCACCAGCACGAGCCTCAAGTTTAGCTCCCTAAAAGTCTAGATGAAGATCGGTGTGCACAGACTGTGTTCTCCAGGCTCTCTTGACAGTTAGCAGTGTTCTCTGTGGTGGGCATCTTTGACTGGAACAGCAGCAAGGGGAAACTGGGTGGTTTCCTAGCACATAACGTAGCCCCGTAGTTCAGTGGGGTAGGAATCGGCTGCTCACCAAACAGAGGGCTGTTGTGCCATCAGGTGGGAACCATGCTGGCCCTGTAGTGGTTTTCAGAGGCTGTAAACCCTGTAAGGAGAGAGTCCATGTTTTTTCACTTGTTGCAGCTGGTGGATTTAAATCCACTTGTCTTTAGATTGGCAGTGAAACCCCCTATCACTAAGCCCCCGGAGCTCCTGAACCAAAAGTTAAGTACCGTGCGTAGCTGATCCGCCAGTGGGTTTTCAGAGACTAATCACACAGCAGATTGCCTGTCCTCCTCAGCAGATGCTAGATTCGATCCACGCATGCCTGTCAGTTGGCGGCGTAATTACCGATCTTGGAGAGGAAGAACCTCAGCGGAGTAGACTGACACAGTGACACTGCAGCAATGGCTTGAAAGTGTCAGATGGAGAGGGTGACACAGGAGAGGGTCAGGTCCAGGTCTGTTTTTCACAGGGTCACCGTGAGTTGTACTCTACTCAGTGACACCTAACAACAGGAAGCCGCCACAGCTCCCTAACCGAAGGTGGTTCCGACCCACTAGCTGCTCTTGCAGAAGCATGAGGCAGTTTGTTTCTGTTAAGGTTTACAACCTTCAAAGCCGTGTGGGTGGCGTAGTTCTACTCAGTGTATAAACGTGAGGGTGCCGGACCTGCCGCCATCTAGCCAGCTCCCATTGTAAAACACTGTTTTGAAAGGAATTTAGAAGGCTTTCAAAATCTTGGGGCTTCCAACATCTTTTCTACTGTTGTAATCCACTTCTGAAAGCCAGCCCTAGTTAGCCTGTGGAACATGGTCTACTCTGAATCCTGTGTGATCCTCAGGGTTCAGATCTGCTGTTCGTAGGGTCGCTATGAGTCGTTGACCCAACAGCATCCACCAACCGTGAGTTATCTGCTCGGCCCCAAGGGGTCATCATGAGTTTGAGTTGACTTGGTGGCAGCTGGCTTAGTCTCCAAGTGGATCACTGATCTACTCGTTTGTCATACTTGGTGACTTGAGTGATGGTGGAAGCTATACTCCTTGTATTTCACATAACTAACAGTGTCATTCTAGTAAACAAGCTTCAGTGCGACTTCCTTTACTAAGACTAGGAAGTAGGAACCTGGTGCTTTTACTGGAAGTAAGACACACATACATCCTACTTGATGAGGGAGGGGGAATGGTCTGTCAAAACGTAAAGAATACCAGTGGAGCATTGATACAGAGCCAGAAGATACGCCCCTCAAATTGGAAGGCACTCAGCATAGCTGGGAAGAACTGCCGAAGTAGAGTGGATGTTGGTGTAGAAGGGGTGAAATTTTCAAGACCTTGATTTGCTGATGTGACTGGGATCAACGTGGGGGAATGAGGGAAGGAAGGCAGCTGAAACACCCCTTAATAATAACATGAGGTGAGCACAGTAAGACCCTAGAAAAATAGTCAAAACCAAGATGGAATGTTTGGATTTAGATGCATCCTAGGCATTAAGAGGAACTCTGGTGGCCTAGTGGTAAGAAGCTGCAGCTAGCTGCAGACTCAGGGGCACTGTAGTTCAAACCAACCAGCTGCTCCCAGGGGATGCAGATGGGCAGTCCCTCCGCGTTGTGATTTACTGCCTCTGAAAAACCAAGGTCTTGGCCATTTGAATTGGGTAATCACTGATTATTTGTTAGGCCAGGAACAGTAAGTTAAAGAGGAGTAACATCGGGTACCTGTACCCTGAAGTATTGCCCTGTCAGTGGTAAGATAACATCTGCACATGGAAGAGGAGGACCAGTTGGTGCTGTTTTCTGCACCAAGCACTAGTGCCAAAGATAAAGGGAAGATTTTTACAGCCTTCACTGTAATGGGTCAAATGCACAATTAAGATGCATTACTAATTACTGGTGATTGTAATGCTAATATTAGAAACCAAGCCGTATTAGTTTAAAAATAAGGCTTTGGTGATAACCTATGCTGGAGGTCAGATGGTAAGATTTTTCAAGAGCTGTGTATTATTCGTTAGAAATAAGGTTTTTGAAACAACTTTTACAGTAACTGCATGTAGACCTTGATAGATGGAACACACAGTAAACAAACTGCCTCTGTGCAATGGAAAGAGAACAGTGGGAAAGTCTCCTATCAGTAAGAACAAGATCAGAACTGTGTGAGATTAGTCCGTTTGCTCGTGTGCAAATTCAAGTTAGTTGAAAATGAAAACAAACCCACCAAAGCATGACCTTGAGTATATTCTACCTGAATTTAGAGACATCTCAAGAATAGAATAACCCACTGAATGATCAAAAAGACCAGGCTAGTTGTGGAACAACATCAAGGACATGCGTTTGGATGAAGGCAAAAGATCAAAATAAGACGATGAAAAGAGTATGAAGCAG